TTAAAAACACAAAACCTCACATTGGTGTTTCCCTATAACTTCATCCTGTGAGCAGCCTTGTCCGATCCAGCCTGCTGCACTTGGCTGTGGACTTGGGCACACACTGCTGCTCCTCAACAATCATCCATAGCTCCCCATTCCCCCTGCAGCCTGGCAGCGCTCATTCTACCCTGAGCTGGCCCTCCTGCCTTTCCCTTGCAATCGGGCCATCTTCCTGCTGTCCCCTCTCTTGGGTGGTCAGGCCCGTTCTTGGTTCGGGGCCCTTTGGGGCTCCGTATTCATCAGCATCTGTCATGGTCGGCAGCAGTGACTGCTAGGGACGCGCAGGTCTGCCGTTAGCAGGCAGCAGACAATGCCGGCCTCACATCTTGTCAGGGCGATGCCGGCCCCAAGCCCTCCAGGCTCTGCTTAGGGAAGAATCTCCACCGGACTGCGCCGGGCCCTGTGCCAGGCCTGCGATGCCCGTCTGCAGGGGCCTCTGGGCTCCTCCATTTGCTTTCACGGAACTCGCTTTGCACAGCCCTGGCAGCCTGCAGTGAGGGTCTTTGCAAGACGCCCCCAGGGAAAGCTGTGAGGCTGAGAGACTTCCTGCAGGTGCAGAATCTGGCCTGCCTGTCCCTCTCCTGGGCACAGCTTTGATTGTGGCTGATGTGCACCCTTATCCTCATCCGTGCTGGTCCCAGCTCGCCTTGGCCTCCAGGGAGCTCCAGCCCTCTAGGTGGCCGGGCCCAGGCGTGCACCCCTGGCTTCCTGCCTCTGTCCATTCCCCTCATTTCCTCGTGACCTTATGTTACTCTGTTAGTGGTTCGTTTGTCTGCCTACCCTTGTTAGAAGACGATGGCGTACAAGATAAATAAATGCTGTACTAACCAGTGTGACGGGTCCCCAGCCTTGTCCACTGTCCTCGGCTTTTTAACCCCCCAACCTTGAAGCCACCAGTTTTGGGAGGCCCCACGCCCTCTCCCCTGTCTGCCCAATCACTCACTGTCTCCACTGCTCAGCCCACAGCCCCTAAAACATGCTTATTTTTCAGGATTCCATCCTCGGGACACAAGCACATTGTGTGCCCCTTGGTGTATAAAGGTGCGCGGGTGGTTCAGGGTGGACGTCGCCTGCTCGGGTCCCAGCCAGACACAGGGCTTTGGGGACACTCGTCTGGTCAGCTGTGATGCTCCTTTGCCAGCTGATTTCCCCGGTCCCTGGAGTTAGGGGCCCTCGGCCAGCTGGGGAGGGGCCCGGTGTCCGACACAGCGCCATTGCAGTTGAAGCGTGAGGATGGGAGGTGCTTAGTGAGCACTGAGCTGTCGCTCAGAACCCCCAGGGCTAGGGGCGTAGTCGGAGTGGGCGGTGACTGCTCATGGGTTCGGGTCTCCTGTTGGGGTGACAGGACTGTTCCACAGGGAGAGGTGGTGGCTGCACAGCACTGGGGGTTGCTAGCTGCCAGAACCGAACACTTCTAAATGGTTTATTTTATGTCATGTGGGTTATACCTCCGTTTTTTTTAAGAAAAGGATTAAAAAAACAAAAACCTTAAAAAAAAAAAACCCAACTAGTTGGGTGTGGCATGTCCAGAATAGGCCAATTGATTGAGACAGGAAGTAGCTGGAGCTGCCTGGGCTGATGGGAAGTGCCGGGGAAATGGGAAGGGTGTTACTCCTGCAAAGGGAGCAGGGTTCTTTTGGGGGCAAAGATGTTCTAAAATTGATTGTGGTGATGGTTGCAGGGCTCTGTGAATACACTAAAAACCACTGAATTTTAAATGGAAGATTGTAAAGTACGTGAGTTATATCTTGATAAAAGTTATTCTAAAAACGAAGAAAGCCCTGCCTGTGGCATGTCCTGGAGAGAAGCCACAGCACACACCACTCCAGCAGTCATGAGCGCGGAGCCCGCGGCTGGTTCGGGGTGAGTCGGGGGCGCCCCGGTGGATCGAGCCACGTGCTGCGCTGCTGTTCCCCATCAGGACCAGCCACGATCAGACGGCCCGTGTCTTAGCTTAGGGGCATCACAGAGCCTCACGGAATCTGATGAAAGGTGCGCACCCTCCTCTTTGGGGGTCGGGGGGTGCGAGTAGAGCATTTTGAGTATAATTTCAGGGGACACATGGGCCCTCCCAAAGGCCCCAGTTCAGAGCCCCTCCAGGGGTTACTCGGGCCTCGGTCAGCCTCCAGGTCTCCGGGCTGGGGCGTCGTGCTGCTGTAGCTGTCCGCTCGCTGGGTCTCAGCCTAGGACGGATGCGGGACAAGTGGCGGGAGCTGGCTCTGCAGGCCTCTGCTCCACTCACCCTGCCACCCGGGCCTTCCCCTCGTCACTGACACTCCCACCTGCGTGTGGCCGTGGAGGCTTACGCCGGCCTCACTGGGTCTGACTTCCACCTGGTCCTCACGTGGCGACGCTGACAGCTCTGGAGATACTGATGCACCTGTCCCAGCCCACGTTTTCCATAAACTCGTGGCTGTGGCTTTCGGGAGCCGGGGCTGGAGCTCGCGGGCTTCAGGTGGGCGTGGTCCTCAGAGGCGGTGGGTGGGGAGGGGCCAAAGGCTGCGGGAATGATTTATCCAGTGGATTTGTTATTGATGCAGATTCAGTATTAATAACTGGTGCTTTATTAACGGCTTTGTCTCCACGAGGCTCCTGCCCCTCTCCTGTTGTAATTACAACCACAGGGTTCCCAAAGAATCTTCTAGAACAGTGGTTCTCAACCTTCCTAATGCATCGACCCTTTAATACAGTTCCTCATGTTGTGCTGACCCCCAACCATAAAATTATTTTCGTTGCTACTTCATAACTGTAATTTTGTTACTGTTATGAATCGTAATGTAAATATCTGATAGGCAGGATGTATTTTCATTGTTACAAATTGAACATAATTGAAGCATAGTGATTAATCACAAAAACAATAAGTAATTATATATGTGTTTCCCGATGGACTTAGGCGACCCCTGTGAAAGGGTCATTCGACCCCCAAGGGGGTCGTGACCCGCAGGTGGAGAACCGCTGCTCTAGAAAGTGGTGCTTGTCAGCTTCTGCTCCCAAGGGACATGGGGTTGCAGCTGTCTTGAGTGACTGTCATCTTTTCCCAACTTCTAGGAGGGAGAGCTCTGAGCAGACTCTGCTCCATGCTACATTTTGCAGGGTGTCTCTTCAGTTTGGGGCCTGCGGCCAGGCGGTGCCGCGGGTGGCAGGCAGCGGGAGCCCTGGAGAGGAGTTTTAACGGGGCCCCTGGAGCCTGGAGCCTGGAGACAGCCGCGCGGGCAGCCTCGGCAGCTCGCCTCGTTTCCTGCACACATGTTCATGCTGTGACTTACTGTGCGTCCGTATGTCATACGTTTGTTTCTTATAGCAACGTTGTTCCTAGTTATTGGTGGAATTTTGAAACGAGAAAGCCTGGTCGCTCATGAGGAGCGAGGGGTCTCCGGGGTCAGCCTGTGGTCTGAGGAACTTGGGTGTTGGAGGGTGAGGCTGCTCAGAGGAGCCTTGAGAGGCGACCGCTGAGGGGCAGGCTACCCCGTGTCTTGGACTGGTCGTTGTGCCTCTGTTTCCCTGGTGTCGGGAAGCAGTGCCCCTGGAGCCAGGACACCAGGCAGGTGAGATGTAGGGACGCGTGGCACCGTCCTGCCTTGGGCACCCAGTCCAGCCTCGTTTTATGGAGGGAGGAGGGCCTCATGTGGGCCTCAGCTGGGGAGCAGAGTCCTGGGACCCCTGGGCTAGACATTTCGGGGCAGCAACATCCAGCTGACGGCTGGCCTCCGTCACGCATCTACCTGGCGTGGGCATCACCGGGTCTGCCACTTGGTGCAACCTGTGCAGAATGTTATTGACGTGAGAGCAAACCCATTCTGATCACGTCCCCCACACCCAGCCTGTGCTTGGGGACTTCATGTGCCCCCCCCGGCCCCCCGTACATTCACAAGGTCAGTGGTGTCACTGACTCCGTGTGACCAAGGGAGAAACTGAGGCACAGATGTGTGACTTCCACTGAGCCTCTCAGCTCCTCCCTGGAGGTGCCACGCCTGTGCTCCGAGTGGCGCCATCACCCACAGTAAGGCGCTGGAGGAGCTAGGCCTGGTCTCTGGGCAGAGCCCGTGGGAGACAGACTTGCTTTCTCCCAGCATCTGGAGACCGCACTTCACGCCCACTCTCCAAGCCTGCCTCCTCCACACACCGGGGTTAGTGATAGCAGCTGCTAGAAGGTGCCAGGTGATGGCTGAGCAGACGCCCCCTGGCCCCGTGCGGTGGGGTGGGGCGGAGGTCAGAGTGGAAGGAGCGCCGGGCGAGTGTGCCGGGGACCAGCTGCAGTCCCAGCTCGACCTCCCGGGAACACCTTCCCCAGCTCTCGGCTCACCTGGGCCTCCTTCTGAGGGGGAGCCGGGGGGTGGCAGTGCCACCTGCTGGGAGGAGCGGTGGGCAGCCCGGGCACAGGATAGTGGGCGTCTGGACATGTCTGGAGAATCCTTCCTAGCAATACTGCTCCTCCCTGGGCCTGGAGCCAAGCCTGGGGCTGGAGGAGCGTTTTTTGTTCCTTATGCCCTTGACTTTCTTAGTGCTGGCGGGTCCACCATCAAGCCTGCCTGTTCCTGCTCAAAAGCCTGGCTGCCCACTCACCCCTTGGGTGTGGCGGGGTGCACCTGCCCCCAAACTGCTCATTTGTCAGTTCAACATTGGTTAAGCACCTGCTCGCTCCTGGAGACTCAGAGATGAGTCAGCCGGTCTCAGCTTCAGGCTGTGGGACGACCCAGGGAGGAGGGACCTCCTGCTGCAGGACCTGAGCTCATCTGGGACCAGGCCCTGCAAGGGGTGGTGTGCCCTGTGCCCAACTGAGCTGGTCTGGTTGGTGCCCAGGGATGTTCACTGAATGAGTGAAGGAACGAGAGACCGCAAGTCTGAGGGCACATACCCCAGGGCGCCCAGCATCCTGTCCTGGCCCAGCCCACTGTGGGATGGGCTGCCCAGCCCCTCTGCCTCCTGTGCCCTCACTGCCCTTCCTGCCTCTCCCCCAGGACCTCCCACTCCCGGGCCAAGGCCGAGGCAGCCCTCACTGCGGCTCAGAAGGCCCAGGAGGAAGCACGGATCGCCAGGATCACTGCCAAAGAGTTCTCACCTTCCTTCCAGCACAGGGAAAACGGTGAGTCGGGCGCCGGGCGGGCGGGGCAGGGTGTCCTCCAAGGCCACGTTCCAGCAGGTGCTGCCCGCTGCCGTCTCCCCTCGTGTTCACGCTCCTTCACGACGATGTGTGTCCCTGCAAGGGCCTTGGCACACTCCTCCCTCACACGTGTCAGCCCCTCTCCCCGCCTCCCGGGCTGTGCCCCTGTGTGCACGCGTTTCCATGCATCGCCCTCCGCTTTCCATGATGGTGAATGTCTGTGTGCTCTGCGTGTGCATGTGGTCTCTTCCTGCCCTTCCCCCAATGTTATGCTAGAACTTCCTGTGACAGACCAACTATTCTATAACTGCTCTGTTCAAAAAGGTAGCTAGTGGCCATGTGGGGACTGCAGCTAGTTGGCTGAGGCCCTGGTCATTAGTTGCGTTTGATCAGAACTGATCTGCATTTAACTGTAGAGAGCCACGCGTGCCTACTGGCGGCCACACTGGGCAGAGTGGCTCATTAACTGAGGGGAGCTGCCGCCATGTTCTCTGGTGGGAGCTGGAGGAGCTAGAAGCCACTGCAGGTAACAGATCTGTGACCCTCATCCTGTCAGGGGACCAGGCCTGAGGGAGGCAGAGAGGACTGGAGAAGGCGGGCATTGCTGAGAGGGCAGACAGCCCCCTGTCTCCGCTCACTTCCCTCTGGCCTCACCCTGGCGCTTCCTCTGCAGCAGGAAGCCCTGGAGGACAGGTTTGTGGGGATAGAAGCCGCTGGAGGTTTTAGGCTGACATCTGCCATGGGCAGTCTGTCCTGAGGGCTCACCTGAGCTCTCCTGGAGCCGGAGCTCCTGGCCTCACCGGGAGGGCCCCGGCCTTTGGGGCAGGGAGGGAGGCCGCCCGCTTCTGGGAGGCAGGAGGACCCGAGATAAGCGACAAAGGTGTTGGAGTCCAGCCACACATGTTCTGCTCTGCATTTTCACAAGGATGCTTCCAGGAATGTCACGCGCTCTGCAACTAATTTTAGCGGAGCACAGTCTCCAGGCTGGTGGCGCTGACAGGGCGCTGGAGCTGAGCTGAGGGCACCACTCTGGGGCGTGGGGTTCACGGGACCCTGCAGGGTCGCTGTCCAGGCTTGTCTGGGACCCTAGGGTGTAAGGCGCAGAGGCCTGGGCCCCAAAGTCCAGATCACAGGCAGGCAGGTCAGGGGAGGGTCATGGGAGTCCTGTGATGGGGCCAGGGCCCCCCACCCCAGGGAGGGCAGTTCCTCATGTGGCCCCTCAGACACCCCCTGGCCTGTGTCCCTCTGTGCTGGGGACCACCTGTGCCCCCGTCCCATGGCTGCAGAGGTGTGGGAGACTACACCCCATGTGACAGATGGGTGCAGATGCAGGGGGCTGACTGCTTGCCCCAAGTCCCAGCACCTGTCTCCCCAGCACATCCAGGACCACATGGGACACCCCTTGGCGGCCTTCACCCTTTGAAACACCCCAGGGACTGTTCATGGGCGTCTACAGCTCTGCCTTGTTCTGGTCACCGCCTCAGGCCCCCATGCATGCCAACAGCATGGTGGATGCCTCCTCAGACGGGGTGCCCGGCCCCTGCTGAGAATCCTGGCCACACCGAGGGTGCCGTCCCCTAAGGCCCTCTCCTGCCCTGGCTCAGATGCTCCAGTATGGAAGCAGTGAGGGGAGCCCAAGCGGGGGGTGGGGCAGGAAGAACAGGCCACCAGAGGCCTAGGCCACCCGAGAGGTCCGTGTCCTGGGCGGACAGGCCCCCCTCCCCAGGCCACAAGACCTCCAAGGTCACCTAGCAGGAGATGCTTCTTTTCATCCTGAGGAGGGCCCCATGGGGGGCGGGACCGAGACCCCCAGAGTAGGCGGGGCCCCAGTCCTCGCACACTGAGCCTTGGTCTGCCTGCAGCCCGGGCTGGGCCAGAGCTGCTGCCCACCACTGCCTGGCGGGACCTGGTCATCCTCAAAGCACCGGTGGGCGGCGGCTTGGGGTCCATGGAGGGGCCTTGGGAACCGCTGTGTCCCAGCCTGTGCTGCCGTCGGAGGGGACTGGGGCCGCCACAGCTGGGGCGAGGAGAAGGCCGGGGCCTCCCGGGGCGTCCGCAGCGGAACCCTCCGCAGTGGCCAGCCCGCGGAGGACTTCCGCTCCCGGGGCTCGGGCCACAAG